CTATGATGAACGTGGGCTTGCAACAAAATTACTTCAAAGTAAGTAGCTTTATTCGTTCACTAAAGTTGTGTAGTATTGCAACAGAGCTTTATCACGTCTGCACGGAACGGGGTGAATACCGTTACGGCAGAAAAACATAGAAAAAGGATAACTTTTGGGATGCCTCGAAAGGAGCTCCCTGCAGCGGCTGGTTTATAATCGGTTAAAGTAAATTTAGCTTTTGGGCTGTCGTGAAAATACAGTGGGTCTGCCTACTGAATTCGGAGATACGTGATATGGTCTAGGTTGCTAACGTTTCGTGCAGGAAAAAAATGAGCCGTCCAAACTAACGTTTAACTAAAGCAATAAAAACGGACGTAAAACTCAAAAAAAAGTATTTATTTTAGATTAGGCATCAGGATCAAAAGCGCAGACATGTGTAATATTGTAGGTCAGCTGGTTGCTTCACGTAGCGTATACGCACATCACAGTTTTACAGCCACCATCCTTCAGCGTACCTCAGAGAAAATCCAGAACATTTCTACCGTGTGCCATTATGAAATATCGGTGCTATAGCAGTTTCTCCGTCCTGCGTTCTGCATTTCGTTGCCGTAAGCAACAAGTCGATTTGACTCTGCTTCCCCTTTCAGGTACAATGGCACCACATATTCTATATATTGGCACGCACGAACATTTATAGTGTCTCTAATTTGACAATCAGCCGGATGCAAATATCGAAAGAGGTCCCATGTCGGTTACCGCAATGACGACTCTGACGTATGATGAGCGTAGAGCAGAACTGATTTGGTCTCCATGCTGCTACATCTAGTCCAATACTATAGTAATAGAACACATTAATTATCCTTTTCAGAACTATGTGAATATTTTATACGTCCAAGTGGAAACGTGATACAATTCATTGGATCAACCAGTTTAGCTTCGCTGAACTTAGACGTCATGTATAAAAAGTATTATATAATATAAAAAACTATAATACCCAGAGGAACTGTCAAATTATTCGTTACATGATAGATTTCCTCTGATAGAAAGTGTTGAATAAACAACATGCTAAACGCTTGGTTAGCATGTCGTGGAGGAAAACTGAGCGCCAACGCCACTTGGGGGTAGTCACATATAGCTGCTACTTCTGTAGCCAGTCAAGTGTGCGCTTTCGAAACGGATTTTGCTGTCCTATAACCCAGTAGGAAGTGCTTAAACCTAGACCCCTGGCCAATGTCGTTCATAGCGATTTATTTAGCTGATTTCTATGTATGGGTATGGCTGGCACTACGGCTGTACCATCTGGGCTTTTTCCCTCCAGTAGTTTCCTATCTGTTCATTACTAAAGAGGAAGGCTGCAACGATAGCTTAGGTCAGCATCAGTCCTGATATTAGGGTTGGAGAAGTCGGACGTCGCGAACAGGATTACTTCAAATATTTGCCTAGAAAGCATTTGTACATTACATTATTATATACATATGAAGCGGCGGACCCTTGCGGTGCGTCACGGTCTAAAAGTGCCCTGTTTCCAATATCCTTCGAGAAATACACCCTTTATTAAGCAGAATAGTGTCCTGTTAGGACCTGAAACATTCGGCAGCGACAATTGCAGTCATTACAGAATGTGAACGACCTAGTTGTAAAAATAGTTCATATGTCCATTGGAAAAACGTAAAAGGTTTTTATTCCTATTTAGCCTAACCTGACGATACGAAATGACCGCAAGGTACTATTGGCAACTAACAACCGTAATGTGCATTAGGAAACTATTTAATACAATAAAAAGTAAAAAAATATATACATATATATATATATATATATATATATATATAACGACTAAGATGGGTTCAGTGGTAAATCTTAACGCTCATTTTTGTACGCCTCCGTATGCGCAATGCATTCAATGCTATCCGAAAGCTTCCCTATTAGCTCGTTTGAGTTAGAAAGAAAACACAAAATTTGATCGAGGTAGGGCCTGAAATATGGGCGTTCCAGATGCAACGAGAACTGCGTTTTCAACACCTGCTCTACTTTTCGTTTTGCCGAAATCAAACTCCATCCAAAGAAATTTCAGAGATTTGTGCTGTGTTCCGAAGAGCACTGCTAAACGTTGGTTTGCGAAGATTCGAAATGGGTCTTTGCACCTGGAGAAAACCCGACGCAAATCGTCTCCAAAAGAAAATAGTCGGCAAAGGAGTTGTAGATAAGCAGATAAAAATGAGCTGTCGTCATACGACAACTGTGATTCCCTTAAATACAGTGAGATAGACACAACAGTGGCGATGTCGGATACCGCAAACACTAATCACAAACAACAAAGAAAAAGGGACCGTTATCGTATTGTAACACCCCACGTGGCATCGTATACCATATTATACTGGTTGAACAATCAGAATAAGTTCTGATCAAGAGTAGGTTAAGGTCTAGTTAATTTTCGTGACGAGAGGCCGTGGTTGTAAGCGAACGTCATGACACTTCAAAGATAACTTTCCTCACCAGCCGTGCTTCTCTAGCGACAACCACCTATACATCATCGAAAAAACAAAAAAACAAAACAATTATATATGGTACTTGATACGTTGACATTAAGCTTGAGTTCCGCTGCTTTCCAGATGGGTAACTCATGTCTGGTTACCTAATCGAACCTAAAAGAGGTCGCAAAGTATTACGTCACAATATATCGAAATATTGTTATTTTCATTTCGCCTTCGTATTTAGCTGAAAATAGTTCTTTCTATCTGCCCTTTAGGTAGAGAAAGTCTTCGAGACGTTGACTTTGGCTGTATGTAAATCTCAATAAGTAAAAGGATTGTGGAGTTCCAACATACCTCATACAATCGATTATATCACCTCATTGTTTGCCATTACTGTTTTCAACGCTCCAAAGATAAACCCCACATAACGCATATTATTTATGTAAAGCTAATAGTTGCAATGTGCCTTCAGAACAGAAACACGACAGTTGAAGCCCTTCTCTTCTGTACTTTCGTCTTGATGGGGTAAAAACAGGTGGAGGTATTACTAACATTGTCACAACAGCCTATTTGTATACGAGACGCTATCTCATTTATTTTCAGTTAAGTGCTTCTACCCACCATCTGACGCCACACCAGAGCTCGAACTGTTGATGCGGGCACTTCCGCTCATCAATGCAGGACGCAAAATTGCAATACTGTTGCAATGGCCTTTTTTTGGTCCACATTTTTAGCTTAAATGTGGAGAGCAGCTTCGTTGCGCTGATGATCCCTTAGCAGTAACTGAGCGCAGCCGTTTTGTACAAGAGGAGCCGAATGTTGGCGCAGTGTCCTGATTTTGTACTAGCCATCATGTCTCTGTCCATTTTAATGTAGTTTAATTGAAATAAAGTATAAGTGGAAGAGAGAAAGATTATTCCCCATTTTTTTTACAACACATGTACATGGGTAGAGGCCTACGCAAGGAAAGGTTCACTTCGAGTACCTACCCAAGGTAACTTAGCTATATGTGCAATTGTAACAAAGAAACGGAGCAACTCAGCGTTCAACTTATAGCAATATAACTTATAACGTCGCAAATAGCTTATTATTTAATAAGGAATAAAATTCAAACTACGGATGTACTTACGCTGTTAAATTAAATAAAAAAAATTAAATACACTCCACCGAGTTAATTGCATCAGCATTACATAGCGATAATTATTAATGCTGGCAACTAATTTGTAAATAATGCGACTTCCAATGGATCACACTTTTAGGTATTCTATCGCAAGCAATAGGTACTGCTTTATATAGGTATATGCTATATATATATCCCCTAAGCTTTGTTGTGTTTGTGCGACAAGCTCTTTAGTTAGCCATTAAAACCATCTGGAAGACCTTAAATAATGAACATAGAATGAAGAATGAAGGTAATATACATATATATATATATATATATATATATATGTATATTACCTTGAAGCAGCAAAACATACGTTCTACAAGATCCTTTTATGTATTCATTATTTAAGGTCTTCCAGATGGTTTTAATGGCTAACTAAAGAGCTTGTCGCACAAACACAACAAAGCTTAGGGGAGCGAATGCAAAGGTCAGTGTTTGTTCGTGGAAAATCCGAAGGCTTGTTTTGGCCTGGCAACATCAGGGAGTTACGAGTAAAATTTATACACAATCAATCGTACGTACAATCAATCGTACCGATAAACGACCGTCGTTTTGAGTAGCTAGAGTCAGTAACGATAACAATGAGTAACTGCCGATATAGCTATAATGATATAGATATAGCAGTATTAATACCCACAGACAACTGTAGAAATATCTCACGGTCTGACAGTCGATGATTTGCCGGATTCCCTGAGTAAGATACGCAAGCTGATTCGTTAAATCAAATGTTGCACTAGAGCTATTTTTGCTTTTTCGATCTAGAAATAAATAGTTATCTCTTACCACGCGCGAACTCATTATCCCACAGGGCTAGATGAGATCCCTAATTCTGAACCATTTTGCGATGTTTGTCAATCATACATTAAATTACAATTTAAATCTCGCAATATTTTTTAAACAATGAGATCGGAGTCAATTTTCAATGTTACTAATGGTTCCCTGAATCACTAACCGTTAGTCAAGCTACCTTTCTCTACAGGAGAGCTGTAAGAATGATTATTAATTAAATATTCTCTAACAGGTAAATTATTTCCGCAGCTAAAGTCACCATTGTGCGGCTTCCACGGACGTACAAAGGGCTGATGCCGAGAGAATCCAGCAAGTATTACACATTTTCGCGTTCTAGCTAATAAGGAATCTAGGGTTGAGATCGTGGCGAAAAGAGATCGAAAGCGGTTCTGATTACAGTAGTTTCTTATCTATCGTGTATCGTAGGCGTGATCCTGGTTACCTACCTCCAACGGCAGGCGATCGGTAGGCGGCGAAGTCGTCGGAAAGCCAACAAAGTGGCTACGCTGGTCGCCAGCGTGTGGCCTGTTTACCAAGACTCGTCCACTTGGAGACCTCGGAGATGCGACCTCACTTCCCTCTGTGATCATTTACTCAATCAGTCTTTGATGGACTCGGATTTCCTTCACAACATAAACACTTCCCATACAACGGCTGGAACAACTGCAGCAAGCTCAGCCCCGTGAAAATCTTCCAGCATCAACGACGAATAAACGATTCCTCATAAAAGCAAACCATAACCCGTCCTTTAGCGTGCTGCCTTTCCGTCGAATCACTTCTTTTCTTCTATTGCGTTTGTCGGGCTAGCGAATACCAGACGGTAGCGTAAAAACAAAATCGGCAATGGGCTATAACTCGAACATGGCTTTGCATCGGCGGGTGTAGAAAACGGCTCTTCCTACAATCGATCCGAGCTTACCATATTCACACTGTGAAACTGAAATGCCCGACATTAGCTAGCAACGAGATCGGCGTTTTGAGTTGAGCGCCTTCATTTTCATACCGACACTTGCCTTCTTCAGTCAGCCAGCCAGCCACTAACAAACGATCTAAACCCGCACTTCTGGCCACCGACATCTCCTGAACTGCTCCTCACTTCAACTGGTGTTGCCGCACTTCGAAGATGTGCACAGACTATTTTCGATTTATGATGTCCATACAATACCTGTACACGTACACATGAGCACACACTAATAAAGCCTCATTCGTTTCAGAATTTACGCATACTTGGGGCAGAACTAGTTCTGTATGATTATGGCGTGGTACCCAGAAGATCGTAGAAGTGGATTAAAAATAGAGATAACCGTTCTCGGGTTTTTGGTCTAGTTCCAGTGTCGTTCTATTTTTTTCCGCTTATTTTTTAAAACCACAACAGCCACCACGAAGCACAAAAAAGCAGGAACCTTTTCTGTCAGACTTCCGTTGCCAGATTAGACTCTAAAACCCTACGATGTACGTATTTTTCCTGCGTTGTTTTCTTTCTGCCTCACTAAGTTGTAACCAAATATATGTGGTTTTGTGTAGGCTTGTGCGCGGAAGTACATCATACGCGACGAACAGCAAGTTTTCTAAACAAGCTCGTTTCTTTTCCTAAACTCACTAGCAGCTCCCGCATAACACAGGGCCTACTTCTCTGTGGCTTCGTGGGCCGTCGTTGGTGTCGGCCGGGCCTACGGTTTCTATCTGTCTGACGACGGCCTGGGTTTCCTCCACCTATTGCAGCTGGAACAGTCGTAGCAGCCGCTTACTCTCCTCGCCAGAGCGCCTCCTTCATCGCAGCCACTAGCGCCGCTCGACGGCGGTGGCAGTGGCCGCACTGTTGTCGTCGTCGTCGCCGCGAGAACAAGCACCAGCAGGAGTAGCATGCTCTTAGGTCCCAATCCCTGTCCGCTCACTGCTAAGCGGCGCGCGATGTTGTGACTGTCCTCGCGCTCCACAAACGCGTTGGTCCGCCGAGAGCCTATGCAGCCTGTCCAGCCTATGGACTGATATGTCTTACCCTTTCTTTAGCAACTCTCATGACAGGCTTGGCTCCTCTGGTCCGATAGACCGGAAGACAAGATTACAGGATTATTGGCCTAATCCGTGTCGAATGGCCTGTTTCGAGTCGAGTTTGAGGAAAAGGATAGTGATCTGGCGAAAAAGGAGGTGAATGGCAAACGAAACAGGCAGAATATTCTGCGGACAAACCCTGTGGAATGCTTCACCGACTTGCGGCAAAAATACGTTCGAATGAACGCGCGCAAGCATGTCTTTTCCGCAGGCCTGTTGTGGCTAGCCCCCTTCACCAACCCTTCTCCTTCTGTGGGGTGCCTCAAACTTTGCCGCCGCAGAGCCTACTGGGTCCAGGGAGCTCCACGGATCGACCGAACTGCACTCGCATTATAACACCGGACAGAGTGGGAGCTTCGTATGGGAAGTGAGGTTTGATTCGATCGTAGCCGCCAGCATTAGGAGTTGGTTCAGTGCTTAGTACAACACTTTTTGAATTAGCCCGCCTGGGCGCACACAGACGGTGTGCGAGAGAGAAAATAGGCCAGGTCGAAGCAAGACGACTGCGTCAACAACAGCCGCAGCAGCGCAGGGCGGCTACGACCAGAACGCGGACGCCGCGAAACTAAAAGCACAGCAGTGGGATGGCCAGGTGGGCGGTGCTACTCGATCGCTGATTGGCGCTCTGGCAGTTGATGGTGCTTGTTTTTTTGTCTATATGCCCGAAATCGCTATCGATAAATTTGTGGTACTGCAGTTGTTTTCGGCCCTAGATATCGGTAAGTGTAGCTCACTGACTCTGCAATTAGAAGTTTCACGGTGTTTCACCGGTCATTTACGAGGTAGGCTGTGACCGTAAAAGATTTATTCGAAAAACAGCAATGAAGGAAAAATTACGAGTGTGTACGGAGCGTTCGGAGATGATCCTTTTATGTTGCAGATAAAGTGGTACGACATTTCCGCTTGACGTTATTCCTACTTTATCTATAGTATATACCTCGTGCTAGTTAGACGAAAAAACGAAACGAATATTATCTAAAGGAAAGGACCAGAAAAGGCGTTCCTTTAGTTCTTTACTCTATCTATTCTTCCTTTTCTACCGGACTATTTCCTCCTCGGGGTCAGTAGCGCAGGTAGTTACCGCTAATCTCTTACTATGCCGTAGAATAGTTAAGCAAGCATTCGCGACAATTTCAAGTTTGTAGCAGTCCAACTTCGCCGACAAAAGAGCTCCGTTATCGCGTGAATTTTTCGAATATCATCAATTAAGTTTCAATCAGCTATTATTACTCTCTGATCCGTATGCAAACGGATGCAACTGACACTTGTAACCTCGTTGGTTGTCGCTTTCAATAATGGTCAAGTCAACGATTAAGTGTTCTACCGACCCGAGACAATACGAAATTGTTTTGATACTAGAGTCTGTTTTAAGATGTTGCGTATACTTCTATTCGTTTCAGGGATCTGATCAATTTGTCAGTGATGCTTACTGAACGGTATCAGGCAGCGAGTCAACGCGAGTCGATCAGCAAGCGTCGCAATTATAAGTAAATTTGCAAGAAAAGTAATAAATAGAATTAAACCCGATTCATGTGGTTTAATTACGGTCCCGGTACTTATTGTAGTGTGTGGCATTTCTAAATTCTATTGGCAAGTGAATGCTCTGCCGCCACGGGTGTATCGGAGCCAGAAGTGAGATTTAGGTTTCTGACTTTAAATTACAAACCTTAAGTTGAGTACAAGTTAGTTCGTGATGACGTGCTCAAATTGTGAACGTCTCCGTAAAGAGATGGAAGAAATGAAGGAATCGATGCAGCTGAGAGAGTTCGAGCTTGAGGAAAAGCTTAACCATTTAGAGGATACAGTTGAATGGGCGAACGAGGATAAAGGAAATTTGAAAGCGGAATTAGAGGAGACGATCAAAGAACTCAAAAAGTACGTAATCCTATGGTTTCATTTTTTTTTTAATTATATGCGACGTAATGTCAACCAGCTCAATGTTGGTAGCAGAATTTCCTATGTATAACACTAAGTGATTTGTTGTAATGTTGGTTAAGGAAAATTCGTAGCCTTTGGCTCATCTGCACACGGCTGCTTGTAACACGAACTATTCAAAAGACATCTATGATACTTAAGTGATCCTTTTGCGGCTAGGTCACTTCATGTACCATGTGGATGCGAAAGCTTTAACGGCCTGAGCCGTAAAACGTGACCTATAGAATTCAAAATGAGAGGTAAGTTAGAGTCTAGATCGTGTTTCGTATTCGGTTAAAAGTCGAGTATTGTTTGGTACGCGAATATGCATTAGCTCAGATCGAAATATCTGAAAGGTGGCTATGCATTTGAGTGGTGTTCTAATTTATTTTTTATTTTCATGAAATCCATAGTTTGGTCTCGCCTTTCGGTACAATATAGTTCGCCCGATAGTATATATTGTATACGGTAACGTATTTTTTGTACCAATCATTATGTTAAACTGAACAAATGTGTGCGTTCTGCTTTTTTCGATATATCCGTACAAGAAGTTTCGCCATATTACAGGTGAGTCAAGCTAATGCTTTAGTTATCGAATACTAGTGCCTAATTAAACGGCAACCCAAAGCATCAATATATAATACGATAAAGAGATGTTTCAGTGAGGAAAAAAAAATAAGAAAGATATGACAGCTGTAAACCACAATCGGACAAACATTCCATGAGATTTTGAAATTGGTGCAGAGCAGTATGTAAATAGACTAAAATCGACCATAGCAAAACATGGTCTTCGCAGCAGATCCACGTTACTCAGCCTCATGGCATTATTACTAGTTCATAGTAGTAATCAAGTACACGTACGTGACTAGTGCACAAAAAGGCAATAATTATTCCCAATTGGCGAAATTTTTGGAGAAACAAAACTGAAAAGCAAGTGGTAAAAGAAGAAACTACTTTGCGAAAGCGCTTACCGAGTACTAGTCGATTTCACCCCTTTCAAACGTAATCAAAATGCAATTCAGGTAAAAAGTTTTCTTATACGCGTGTAGCACAATACCACCTTGACACATTTGTTATTAACGGTAATTTATCATCTTTCGAAGGTATTGTCCTCTTTTATTGTATATATACCTATGGATAGATTGTAAATTGATATTGTACCGTAGGGTTTTAGAATGCAGTCGTACGGGTCGATATACTATATCATGAAGGTGCTAAAATCGAGAACGTTCTCAAAACATTGACTGTCTTTTCGACGAGCCTGCAATTTCTGTATTTGAACGATAGTCTTTGAGGTACGTATCGTGAGTGCTTAATTTCCTCCATAGTCGGCGAATATACCTTCCCTGTAATAAAATCTAAATTTTCAAGTATTTTTTATATTGTTCGAAGTACCTGGGGAGTCTGAACCTAGATAAGATACTTTCTGGCTAAGGTAATAGTTTCACCGGATCATTCTGCTAATGCAGTTCTTGCAATTAAGCTAAAGTAAAACGTAACGCAGTACAGTACAATTATAAAACACGAAAACAACGTCTCACCATGATGTTACAAAGCACTAGCATTACATTTTCAACCTGATCCATCACTGGTCTACTCGCTGACATCTAGGCAAAATAATTATCACTATCCTAGCGAGGTCATAATGAAGAGTTCCATTTGGTGATCCGGCATTTGGTGATTAGTAAGCAAGCAATTATTATTGACTGAAAAGAACGCCACGCGAAGACAACTACCATTAAGAGCGATTTAGTACTATCAATGATGGCTATTCATGATCGATCTATGCGCTTTATGGAAAACAATCCTTTCTAAAAACGGTAAACGAACAATTTAGTCGCGAAGTTTCACGTACAATGCTGTAGTGACACAAAGCGAAAATGGCGTATTGATCTCTGCGTTCTGACACTGGATTAAATAGCTCTATCTTACTTCCAGATTATCGAAAGCATTTATCGTTACTCTATGGGTTACACGTCACATTAGAACGTAGCGTTCTTGATGACAAAACTCTACGCAACGTGTTTCCTCCTACGGAACAAGTCTATTGATGTCACCCTTGCTATCCAATTTGTGCTTAAAGGGTTCGACGCAATGTTATTATTTGTGGTTTCAAAGACCGCACTTAATCATTCTCGATACACATGACTATTATATACTGTTTAGAATGAAACCATGCCGAAAATACTGCCTTTCAAGCTTACCTTCAGAGAATCGCCAAATACGACTGATACACGATGATGATGATGATGATGATGATGATGCGGTACAATCATCCCAGTTAGGACCAAGTAGTTCCATTTCAACAGGTTCAGTTCGAGGCTGTACCATCCTAAAAAGATGTATCAATGGATTGCTGGCATTGAATCTAAACTGTGCATACTAGATTTTGTGGCGTAACTTGCTCTAGCCAATGATAGCACCTTGTCGTCGTTATTCTATTATAAAATAGAATAACTCTATTCAAACATACAAACGCATGTATGCTTCTTAGTTTCAATATTTTTCGAACACTGGTACGAACACGAACAGGTTTTCTACAGATTTATGTATGCATACTGGGGTACCTAAGGAATCTAACGAAGTACGGTCATTAAGTTTTCTTTGGAGATTTTCAGCTTTCGCTAACGTGTTTACTCGTAAAAATTTTTCCAAGAAACCATAAAATTTGTCATATATGCTATAAAGGAACAAAAGAAAATGAATAGTACACGCAGTATTAAGGCTGTTTGCATACGGACTAGATTTTCATTGGGTTTTATTCGTATTCTTGTGTAGAAATATTAATAATGAATATTAAAAAAAAAACAAATGATTTTTTGCTTTTGATAGCTTCGTTGTTAAAGTGTGAGAAACTGGCCACCCGTAGTAGATTTTCTTCTGCATTCGGGACTGGCCAAATAATAGGTGTCCCAAATAACCACGCCACCTGCCAACCCATATTTATCTTAGCTGGGATTTAATTAATCGATGAATCTCAATAATTTTTACCATTTTTTTTAGGTACAAAGACATAATTGCTAACCTCGGACACGGCGAGCCATCAGGAGAAAAATCTGAGGATTTGGCATCTTCCAAAACGCTCATACCTTCGCAGTTGAAGAAAGAGGCCGTCCCGCGCCTCCTCGAAATCATTAGAATACAATCAGAACTAATGAAAGAGATGAAGGATCTCATAACTGCCAGTGGTTCAGAGGTAGCAGAGGTGGCTGCGACCGCCTAGAATGCATTTTTCGTGGTAACAGATGCGAGAAAAACGATAGAAGCGCCTAACGTGGCGTGGAATAGCTGTTAAGCATAAGATCTGCATAGGGCAGTGGTGGCGTCACATTAATGGCCGTTAAAAAAATTATGACAACGATTGAATAAGCTGTTATTGTAAACTATACGTACGTAGGCATGGAGGGTGCGTTGAGACCACTTAGTCATCTTCCGGCATCAACTGGCTTCTAAACAATCTTTAAGGGGACGTGGTGGCCTTTGGGCTTAGAAATTGCTGGGTTGATCTCTAACGGAAGACGAAATCGGGTTGTGAGAGAGCTGAACGATCAACCTGTTAACATGTTAACGCTTTCTCTAGACACTGTTGCTTTCTTTCCGAATAAGAAAAGGCGTTTGGATAAACAGGCAAAGGGAGAGCTTCGGCCCAAATGAGAAAAAATAAAAACAAGCGAGTGTAAAGAAAGCTCCATCTGATGATGAAATTCCTAAAAAATATTAATTTTTCCTTTGATAGAAGTTTTGAGTAAAATCGTTATGACCAACTGCAAAGCAGATCAATTGCAGTCAAAGCAGAATTATTTTCCGAAGCTTTTCACGCAAATCCACGAAGCTTATCATAATTAAGGGCATCTGGAGCAACCTTCATTCAGTAATCGACGCAAAAAGTCAGCGCCTATTGCGTTATTATTATTTTAAATCTGGCAAGGTATACGAGTCAAAAAATCGTAATATTTTTCCAAGCTTGACACATGCCTAGTGTATTCACTACAGAAAGTGTGCGTTTGCCATTCTTAGCACGGTCTGTTGTTTCCTAGTACAATAAAATCGAAAGAAACCGGCTAAGGCGAGCGAAAACCAAGGCGTAGGTGAACGCTCCGATATGGCGGGTATGTGGAGTTTCGTTACAGGCTAAAATACCGAGCTTACGTCTTGGAGCAAGGCTTAGGCAGTGTAGCCACTGTGCACGCATTTGCACTGTTCATACACTTAAAAAAAAGAAAGTGCCTCTTAGAGCGGCATGGTGTCTATGTACAAGAAGCGAACGAAGATAGCTTAGCCTAGGCGCCACGTATATGAATCTAGCAATATACAGGGTGGGGCAAAAGTCTCTGAATTGTTGAAGAGCCTTTATTTCATATTTGCTAACTTGGCATGAGGTACGCAAGTTATAGCAATAAAGATGTGCTGCATCTTTAAATTATTGTAAATCTAAAGTTATGTGCCTCATCCTGTATAAAAATTGTCCTTTGTCTAATGTATGCACCACTGTCAAACGTTGTTGACTCATTTTTAGTAAAGGCATTACCTTTTACCCAACATATAGAAATGGAGACACAATTATGAGTTGGTGCTTACATCTGTGCAGTTGCAGTGCATAGATATTGTATAAAGATTACTGGTCTTTTCTAATGAAATTGTAGGGTAAGGGAGAACTCAGTCATTGTTGGATTGCTGTTAGATTAACTGCGAAATGATGGCCTTGGTGACAAACAACTTTTCCATAGAAAAGCTGGCCTAATCAGGCAGAATGCACCTAGTGCCTTATTATATATAAATATGCTTATCATTATCTTGCAGTATTGTTGACGAAATCCAAAGAAACATGTTACTTCTGTATTATAACGGTCGATGCCTGCTAACCTGTTGTGGGAAATATATATACTCCACATTGATATTACACAGTTAAAGTTGTTTAGCTGAGAATGTCTATTATTGTTCAATAAAGAAAGAACATAGAAGATATAATTGATGATAGTTTGTCTATTAGTTATTGATGCGTCCTAAGGACGCTGACAGAATGTCAATTTTTAGTTGCGTGTGTGTGTGCGCGTGCGATTATGCATAGGAATGTATGATCACAGTAAGATTTTATTTATTAACAATGCTTCTTGGTATAGGAGGATTTGTCGTGAAAAGTAGATTGAATTCGGCTTCAGGACTGGGTAAAGGTAAACGGAGGTCGTAATGTTCAAACTTTGTAATTTCTGCTTATTTTTTGTCATATATACGAAGGGCGTTACAGCTCAATCCATGAGTTTAGAACAACCTTTAACACTTAGTATTTTTACCTGTCACTAGCTGTGGCACATACGACAAATATAGTGTTCTTATCGATAGTAATAGTTTAATTTTATGTCACTTGTTATGTGTATATGTTTTGTTTACGGGGAGCAGAAAACATAATAGCGACTTTGCAATTATCGTCTGCTGTGCTTGCGATTGAAATTAGGCAAATTTTACACGTTGCTGTTTGTCGTTAAGAGAGGAAAATGGAGGCATAGCCTATTCAAGGGACTGGGTAAAGGCCACCGCGTCGAATAAATTGCGTGCTGCATGCTCAAACATCGATTACATAGCGGAAAATAAGCTTTGTCGTAGCAATAGAACGGCAAAAAAGTAGGATAAAAATGTACACTCTTAACAAAAGGCATTAACAAGGTTAATACGTTATATCGGAATCGACTTTTTAGGTTTGTAATCAAATCGTGATATTCCTGTAAAGCAAATGTGAACAACGAAAGGCTTAATTAAACCGTCGTCTTTAGTGACCCATCAAAGGCTACTTTTCGTTTTCATTTAGCGCGAGACAGATGCGGTAGACCATTTGTTGAACGGATTTCATTCCAACCAGCTTGTTATCTTCGACTTACTGCGATAAACACGAAGATAATAGCTTTGCCAAACATCCAGCATTCGTCAGAAGGTAAGCGCTCGCGGAAGCCCTAACGGACGTGGGTAGAACTGACGCTGTTCCTTCTACTCGTCATAAAGATACTGCGCTATTCGACGAGAAGACGTTTGTATTTATGAGCTGTTAGCATTATCTATGGACTATTTCATGTACCCTTGTCATTATTGATTCTCTTTGCAAATCCGAATTGTTGACAAACGCCTTCTTTTGGTCATGATGTATTTATATCTACAAATGTTTTCACTGATACCGCACGTTAGAAAGCGGATCGTTATGATAATAATGATCTTGAATAAAGATATGTTCCGATTAGAAAAAGCAGGTGCTTTAAGTCGAACACTTTCGTACGTATTTCTGTTGAATAATTATTACAGTGGCAAATTTTACAAATGTTTTGTCTACCTCGTATCCATTGAGTCAAATTTATTTCCGCTGAGTTAAACATAAATCAAATTATATTACTACGGAAGAAAACGTTCACAAATCATAATTTCATTGCATTTTTATAATTTAATGTTAAAAATGTTTAATTTTAATTGAAGTTCGTAAAAACTCGTTGATTTGATATTTTTTTAATTTTAAAAGAATATCACGCTTATGTTTTAAAAAAAAAAAACAACATTTTAAGAAACATGATATCCTGATCACGAAAATTATACATTTTTTACATTATTAAATTATGTTTAATATGTTATAATCTTAATATTATTTTGCAGAAACAGGCGTCCTTCGTACACGAACACACGTGCTATGAGGAACCTTGAGCTAGTTAGACTTACTTTTAGCTTAACCAGCCTTATTCTGAAACAAGTATTGTTGCGATCCTATTTTAATCTACGATGGCTATCGGTTATTCATATATTATCGAATAATTTTATGTCACTCAAATTGACTAAGTGGAATCCTTTTATAAAGATAACTCATCGCAATTTGGTTTAGCTAACTCTCCGCTTTTCTTGCTGCAAAATGGCAGGCTTGGTACAGAGTCCGTCGAAATATACAGAGAGCACATAAATCTAGCTTGGACTTTTCATGTAAACCAATTTTAGTCAATTTTTATCAAACGAGAACAGGCGTCCTCGCTCCAAGTCACTCCAACGATATTAACATATGTACAGAGTTCTCGTAGATGATAATGAGGGTTACTTTTGTTAGTTTATCTTTCTACAGTGCTTGGTTCTACTCAATATCAGGTGGTAACAATTACATAATTGCGTCTAATAAGCATATTGTATGAAATCGATCAATTAATCTTCGAGCCGTGCCCGAATAATATGTTTTTCAAATGCTATACATATCGTACAGTACTTTCACTTTTAGACCATGACTACCAGTCGCCCGTCTATCTCATAGGGAAGATCATTTTGGGCGAAGCATCATTCAAAACAAAGATTATGAACAGTCCACGTGCATCTCTGCCTGCTGTTCGGCGCAGATGGATCCGATTTGAGATTTTGTCAATTGCATGAGCAGTTATCATTTGTTTCTTCGTCTTTATTCGTTATTGTTAGGTGTACAGTATTGTAAAGGGGTCGGACAAGGGCCTGCCTATTGTCACTAATTATCAATATGAGTTCTCTTGAAGAAAGTGGTGAAGCCCAGCTGGGATTGACCAATGGCGATGGTGATGGTGAAATCAAAGTAGCAAAGAAAAGATCCTTAAAACGCAAAGTAGAAGAAATGGACACTGATGGTACGCGATCTGACTTGTCTATTTAGCTGATGACATGTATGATAAATAGATTTGTGTCCCATCGTACGTAAGTGTGAAATGATCTGATCTGACCATATTGTTCTAGTATTCTAAGGTAATTCATAAGACGTATGTGACTACCATTTATTCATATCAGCGGTCCTCAGTTTTAAATAATTACGTGCTTTCTCTAAGGACGCTGAGAGTAATGATTTAGTGAAATGTGATTGGCCTTTAACGCGTCGGTCCAACATGTCAATGGATACAATCTTTCCTGAAGAATATGCAAGTTTTAGATACCTAACGCCATTGTAATTTGTTTATAAACGGTTATTTTATCAGCATTGCAAAGATTTATTAATATTAAAATCTGTGTATTTGTGATTCCAATATTTCTTTGCACACGTTTTGTACCCACAGAAGAGAAGTGGCTCTTCAGTCGTGGCGACAACTATTTGCGCCAAATGCATCGTTATTAAGATACAGCACATATCATACTAGACGGTACATCTGTTATTATATGTATGTCTGTAGATAAAATAAAGCGGATAAAGCCCTATCAAACGAATAACTATACAAATCTAAAATCTGATTCAATTTTGTCCGATTTCAGAGGTAGCAAATGAGACGGGAAAAGCTCCCATTCAGTTCCCACCGGCAAAAGAACGCAACATGGGACAAGCTTGCGTTAGAGATATACGAAAAATTCGCGTTCCTCAACATCGTCGTACTCCTCTCAAAGAGAATTGGGCCAAAATCTTCACTCCGTTAGTCGAGCACCTCCAGCTTCAAGTACGCTACGTCCCAAAAAATTACACCGTTGAAATAAAGGTAAAAGTACATTCATCTGTACAGTCTGAATATTAGACTGCAATGTCTGTCACAAATTAATATAGACACGTTTTGTGTATGAGAAGCGCTTGTTGTCGAATTCTCAGTTGTATCGTAAAGAAACTGTATCAGAGCCAGATGCGTCAGTACAATCGATATTTGTTGAATAAGCAATCAAATGCCTTTTCATTTGACGACTAAAACATGACAGGCACGGAATATCTCCAGTTAAAAATTCATAATTTGAATTAGCACTAGTTTAAAAGGTAATAAATATAATTTACTTGTGTCTTACTCTTCCTTAGTGGATGCATGTATTCAATAGATTTTCGGTATCTGACAACGTTAATAAATGGCGATATTATTTTATGTTGATTCGTTCTAAATGTTGTGGATCATCAGGCATCGAATAAAACAACGGAGAGCGGTGCCCTACAACGGGGTGAAGATTTTGTGCGAGCTTTTGTTCTCGGCTTTGAGGTAGACGACGCTCTGGCTCTGCTCCGTTTGGATGAACTGTACCTCGAGACATTTCAGGTTGAAGACGTCAAGACTCTTAAGGGCGATCACATGTCACGCTGCATCGGTAGACTGGCCGGCAAGGGCGGTAGAACCAAGTTCACTATTGAAAATACGACAAAGACACGAATAGTTCTAGCCGACAATAAAATCCACATTCTCGGATCGTTTCAGAATATCCGTGCTGCCCGAACTGCCGTATGCAATTTAATACTGGGCAAGCCACCGAGCAAAGTCTATGGAAGTATGCGCATGTTAGCGGCCCGGGTCTCGCAAAGGCTTTAAACAAAACAAAGTTTAGGGTAATTTTCTTTGTGGATCATGTTATTAGGGCCGGTGTGTGTTTAAACTTTGTAAATAAATGACTACCTGCCAAGAATAAACGTTTTTGACCCATACACTATATAATTAGGTAAAATTTTTAGTTAATCTTTATTTTTCTTTACAGCTTCTTCCTTGCAATAATTCTTGTGAATTCATTGCTTTTTACGGTTAAGCTATATCGAAGCTGATATCACATGTTATTATTATGTGCCATCGATAGTCCCGTAAATCATGCGTATACAAGCCCATAGCGATGTCGAATTAAGTGATATTTTAATCATATCCCCTAAGAAAATGCCGATGGGTGTTCTCAGGAAGTTATCAGAACTAGTACATTTAAGAATATTAATGACCGTTTGGCAATATTTAAAGTGAACTTTCGTAAAGCAGCTGCCCACAAGACCTGTATAGAAAAATAGGAACTGAAAATTATTTTAGCGGATTGGAAAATATTCTTCCGCTTCAGCTTACCAATAATGTCATCAAAAATACCTCGATATTTTTAGAACCCCCAAAGGCTAGAGCAACTATTCATCGTGCCTTTGAGCCAAATTATCAGAAATGCATTTTTATGATAAAGGTTGTATAAATTCTTATTCTTTTATTTATTATCGCTAAACGCTTGCAAACGATTTCATCATTGACGAATGTTGGACTTTACAACCTCTTAAGATACCTACTCTACGGGTAATATGACGTACGAATGTTTATGGAACATCTCTTATTTGTAATATTTCGTAATACATTATAGTATGTGATTTGCGATAAAGCGGTAAGGTATCGTCAAAAATGTTCTGCAGACCAATCTCTGGTGTTCTACGATGATCTTCGGTCTCAGTAGCTTAACATCGTCTATTGAATGTTCTACAAATTATGCATCTGCCGGACATAGTAGCGGTTCAATCCCATTTTCATAATCATCCAATATGGAAGTTAATTAGGAGTGCTCAATTGGATAGCCCAATACGCATTCAAAACAGAAACTTGACGCTATGTCCACATGATTTTTGGAACCTATCAATCTTGTAAAATCGTTTACCTAATTCTGTTAAACAAGTCTCTACTCTCAAGAAGTTTACTGAGTAGATAACTTATGAACTTCGTGAAAACAACTGCTTTTCTTTTTTTTTTATACCTCTATCCATCCTTTATCTGTCAGTAGCCCTTTGAGTTTTATTTCCAATATTGCCGATTATTAGATACTCGGCTAATATTGTAATATGATGTTTATTATTATTATTGTGCTCTTATTATTATTATGAGCGCAATGATCCGTGATCGCTTAGTGGATGAGATATCTGTCTGCCAATCTTAAGGACACGTTCTGGTCTAGGCTCAAATTCAGGCGCAAACGCACTTTGTTTCGTGATAGGGTGCGACCGTTTGATGGAATGCCTAACGGCGACGCCGGACGTAAAACACGAAACATAGAGAGGATGAACGCGCTACTCGGTGTATTTGCGGTACGAGTCTAACTTAGAATGTGTTCTCAATAGTATCTGTGCGCATGTATTTGCTTTAACGGAAGTCGACACTATGGACTGTGGTATAGAAATGACTAAAATTATATTAGTAAACCTAACTTGAGAAGGTATACAGTAAATACGATGTTGGTGTTTTCGTTCTAGCGCTTTGTAATCACACTTTATTTGAAAACTTTTTACTTTTTTGCCATTAAAGGTGTGTGTGTGTCTAAGATAAGACGTCGCCACGCCACCCCTCCCTCAATTCAAAATTGTAAGTCATGCGCTATTCCATTAGAAGACAACAAGTTAATGATCATATTACAAAATTCACTTGACTTCTTTGTCTTGCGGTCCCAAATATTATTTTTGTTTTTCGATTTGGCTCTCCATATGTACATACAGCTAACCAAAAGTGTTGTCGTTGTTGACGGCGACTATGCTTTTTACTTCTAAGGTTACGATAAAACTTCTAATTTTTACTGCTACAAATAATTATAAAAATCATACTGACGATACAATTGTCGTAATATTTAACTGGAGCACATGGAACATTTTATTTGGACTAAAGGTGAGCTAACCGAGGTTTCGTAAGAGAGGCCTTGTTCTTGACGCCATCAACCCAGTTACTGTTATTTTGGCCAATCATATCGGTATAGTCGACCCAACCTGGTGTCGACGGCTCTGCGTACATAATACTATCGTCATGCAAGTCCCGAAAACAAACAAAAAGTAAAAGAATTATATACTTGGATTCAGCCGTTGCCGACATTCCCTTTAATGTCAATATCTCATTATCACTATTTCATATATATATGTATATATAAAATTAGGCTATACCTAAAATTCACTCGTACTGGCTATTTTCTACCATGGGTACGGCGGCCACAGTTTACATCGTCCTGCAATATATTCATGATGATACACACCGTCTGTTATCCTTCTTAGCAATAAGTATTTATTACTAATTTTGTTCCAGAAATGAATAAAAATTGACGATTACCATCCCGAAAATGAGTTTTGCAACTGTTACAGTAGTTGTTATAATCATAGCCGTTGTTGTTTTTGCTTTACTTAGAATTGCAGAATGAATAGAGTCGCTGATTTTACTCCTTCATTCTTTGTATAACCATGAGTCTGTGTGTCCATCCCATACAAGATGACACACTTTTCGTACGGTTTATGTGTCAGAGATCATCTGTTTTCGCTCCCAAAAGGAGACATGCCATTCAGTACAGCAGATTTTTAAACCTTCAAGTGCTTAATGGCATCTAAAATTTTGCGGGAAGACCACGAAACGGTTGATCTCTGCACCCGCGGAGTCGAAGCGCTGATCTAGAAACTAGAAATGTAGTTCGGATCTTTTCTTGCTACTTTTGTGTGCTTATCTAGTTGTCCTATAATTACTATAACTAGCTACGGATTTCTCTTTTTGTCTGCCTATTAATATTCCTATTACTATAGTGGGTAACGGCGCATTGTTGCCCATGCCTTCGTTATCTCCTTGCGGTTGTTGCTCGTTTCCATAGTCACGTAGAAGACACCAACCGCATCCTGTACTATCCGACTGTCTTCATATCATCCTGTATATAGAGTTCACATTTGTCTTCTCTTCTGTGCATGTCTCGTTAGGCAAAAAATGCCACGTGCTTATTGAGTTTCTTTACCACATATGAGTTTCACGGATCTCTCCTATAATTAGACTTGACTTTTGCAGGGCCTGTGGGAAACAATTGATAAAACTCGGTTTATATACTTAGTCCAGTCTTCTTTTCATTTAAAACCAAGTGCGCCTGTGTAACTTACAGTATGCGGACCGTTACAAAACCATTTCAGACTGTGAACCCCATCAAGGATAGGGGGTACTCTAAAAGATGGCGTTCTACTCAACAGAAAGCAACGTACTATTCAAGTGTTTCTACGGGGTTCGGAAATACGCTTCGAAAAATGCATTAATAGAGTTTCGAGTACCTAGTTGCTTCCACAATTACTTTCACCATCATTAATTGTACTAATTTGAGTAAGATATTTTTATTATCTACAAATACACCTACAGTGAGCATTTCAATGGCCTCTTTTCGACGAGCGCCGATATGATCGCTCTCCGCGAGCAGCGTTTCGAATTGCTCGTGCTTGTACAGGTGAGTCACCAACTCCGACTGCAAGTTATCCTTTACATGATTAACAAGGAAGTGCATGATTGCCTTCGGTACCGAGTCTTGGATATTTTTTCGAATGATGAGGAAATAGGACTTTATTAACTTCTCAATGACTTCACAGTCGTGCTGTTCACATGGTGAGAGCTTTCGTGTCGGAGCCGTTGTAGGCTGAAAGTGGTATCATGCAAAAAACAACGAAACAGAGTCAGTAATAATAACGATATGTGGCATATATAGAAACAATGTCATAACACAAGCGGCACCGTGATGAATTAGCTTGGTTTGCAAACGGGTTATTTCATATTGGCGTTTACCACAGAGTTCTTCGATCCTCATCGTGACCATTATCCCAATTATCCAATCCACTTTTGAAAGGCTTTATATATAATGACTTTAATCATACCGCTGCTTTATCTACTCACCACTTCAGCCAAAAAGCTGGTGGGCTTCACAGGGCTGACGGGTTGCTTGGTTTTATGTGCCGGCGTTCCCTGACTGCTCGGGGTCGCTTGGCTTGAACCACCCCCCATCAGGTTAGCTAGGAAACCACCTGAGTTTGTAACTGGTGCGATTGTGGGCGTCGCATTCTGGATAGACGAAGGTGCATCCAGGTTCGCGCTGAATGTTCGCAGCGAGGTACTCTGTATTTATGATGGTGAACGATTCCAGACGATGCCCACGGGTACATTCAATGAAAACCGGAGAACGAACGAAATGCAAGAGGAGAATAATCTTAACATACGTAGACTTGATAAGCATACAGTTTCACTAAGTTAGGTTGGAATAAGCTAGTAACATCAACACAACCAAGCAGTTTCTGGCCAGTAAGCTAATCAAGCGTTTATGTACACAAAAGAGGGTACATACGCATAACATGCATGAATATAAGAAGCCATTGATTGAATTTCACGTTTTTACAGATAGAACTCAACGAATATGATAAATGGTCCTTACTTTTTCTCAAGGTACAAACGTAAATCAGATTTATTGTCTGCATAAATTTAACAGTGTCCTATTTTTCAGTTTTATTTGTTCGAAAAAATACTGCTCAAAAACGAATATTCAAGAGTTGTGGTCCTTTATAGACGTACGCAGATTGCCCATGAACCTAAGTAGCGTCAAAGCAAAAATGAAACACTTATTGAAAATTTGTTTTTGTTACGAAGAAATTGTTACACTGATATTACAACATACCCGGCTCATCATACCCAATAAGACACAACAATTTTCGTCTTTTACTACAAGGTTCATCATGGGCCAGCTTTCGCTTTTCACTAGGGCGGCAGATGATTCCGACGATGAGATCCCATTGATATTTTACAAGATTCACAGGAAGATGCAAAATGTCCTATGAGAAAAATACCCCATGTAAACTTTTTCGAATAAAGCCGCACACACAGTTTTGGAACCACAGTAAGTAATCCACCTTACAGTACTAAATGATAGATATCTGAAAACCTCGGCAGGGTTCATTATTTTCTATGGGTTTACCCATTGTCTCCGAGCTTAGAAGCCTGTGCCAATTTCTTGTTTCAAAAGTTTATGTTACTCGAAATAGTAATACTTGATTATATTTACTTTCGGACTTCATCTGACCAAATATCTATATTATAAAAGTTAAATTACAGCCAATCATTTTTAATGTAAATGGTCCTTTTTGACAGTACGGATTTATCCTTTTCAAATAAACTTTCTGCCCTCAAAGAAATTACAGCTTACTATACTATGAATCCGGCTGTGAACTACGGTTCTTACTGGACTACTGAGCACTAACCACAGAATAAAATTTCAATGGTGTCTTTTTTTCTGCCGTAGACTACATATATAGGGCGGAGGGTTGCCGCTGTTTGATTCTGGAAACGATTTTCATATTTGTGATATATAGCCTTATTACCCAGTAATCAAATACGATAGTTGTTTGTTAAAACAAAACGGATATAAGCCACGCGAATAACATTCTATTGCGAGCCGTACAAGCACGAGTAGAACTAATAATACATCGACTAAATGGGTAGTTTTTAACCATGTATCAGGAAGAAGGTGTAAATAATTAGTTAGACAATAAGAATTTTAAGCAATGTCGACTACTATAAAATGTAATACTCTAGAAACATATTTCCACTTTGAAGGTAAATTTTGTGCACATGGTCTTTGTAATATTTACGTACTTTGTCACAGCCAGGTGCCATACTGGTGCCATACGCTAACTTAATATTGCTAACTGCTTGTTGTGCGAAAAGCGTTTTGCTTAAACACCAAATCATGAACTTTAAGTCATTTCAAAATTTTTTTAACCTTATGTACAGGGAATAATATGTTCAAGATGAGCTACAATATTCCTTGGCATCCTTAGAACTGGCTCTAGGTTTCCTTCTTCATTACACCGAACAAAGTATAAGTACAAAAATGACAGTACACACATGTCACACCGTCCAGTAAAATAACGAATTCGTGCTAACAGTAACCCCCTATTATGTCGAAATCAGTACGAAATACACCGTAATGGTTTCCTATCCTGACCAGTCTGATGGGAAACCTGTCCCGAATCTAAAACAAACAAGGTTTGTAATCAAAATGCAGTCTAAACAACTAGGAAAGAAAGAGGGTAAGTTCGAAGCATGGAAAGCCAATGGGGAAAAGTTGTGATAACAATACTAGCTAAATTTGATTATAAGCAGCATCGAAGTTTCGCTAAAATCGTCTCTCTGTAGTCATGATTTTTTAATCCTTCGCAATTAATTACCCATGTAAATGTAAATGTTGGTGTTAGATGATTTGTTTACAGATACAAATCAATGAAAGATAAGCATTGCTTTAAACATTATATTATGATGTTACAAATTAAAGCTGAGTTTATGCGGTTGCTTTCCTTCAACCATTTTAAGGCTGTAAAGCATCTGTTGGAGTCAATAACACCAAAAGCAGCAGATTGGTGCTGTTACCAATGACAATTGCTGGCCGCACCATTTGCTTTTTAACTATACTGTGAAACACTTCGAATATTTTAATGCTTACCTTATTCATAATTTTTAAGTCGACGTTGGAAGTCCCGTCTCCATTAGCCATTACGACCCCCTGACCCGCGTGATCGCAACTGTGCGCAAGAGCACTCTTCATCGGACGCTTTTCTTCGGGGCCTATAAAACAAACAGTAAGAATATAAATGTTTATTTATTGATTACTTAATGCCAGCTATTAAAAACTTTATTAACAGTCCATCTGTTACATTATAGGTCACATTTAAATGCCCGCGACAAGCTAACTTATTGAAAGAACGCGAGTTGAAACTGGGCTTACCCTTCGAAAGTCCCCGAACAAGGGTGGCGTCATGGAAATCGGGGTGTTTGGTATTGATGTACGCGAGCTCAATACAGACTATGTTCTCTACCATCGAATTGGTTGGCGGAAGACGTCGTCGCAAGAGCTGTGTAACAACCTCTACGATGGACTCGTGAAGCTTTGGAAAACGTAACATTTCTTGCTGAACCTGCAAAATGGCCCAGCGATAACACAAAGGCAATAGATCTTAGCCATCCGCATCGTCCCGGTATTTATCAATTTATTGATGTAATAGTCTTAATCGAACGCATACTTGAAGTCCGTGTACACACACATGTATAGGGTTAATTCGAGAAAACATACATTTACATTAGCGACAGCTGCCTCCTTACACGTTTTTATGGTTGCCTCCTTTTTTTTTATGTACCGACAGTATCTTCTACTCACTTCGATACCACAGTGCTGAATAATTCGCTGCATCTCTTCGTGGACAAGTTCCACACAACGAAGTGATGGCTCTTCCAGCCGTCGAATTTGTCGTTTTACAAGTAATTCGAAGGACACTTCCGGGACGAACAACGCTGGCCGCGGGCCGGTCGCGTTCCGTATTGCCGTCAAAATGTCAAGCGTCGTAAGTCCGGCCAGTGGATCGATGCTGTCTAGGGTCCTTCCAAATGTCTCGTGAAAGATGTAACAGATGCGTGCGCCACCACACAACTCTGTCGTTTCTATGTTACGAGCCGTACCTAATGGTAAAGGTTAGAATAACGAATACAGTGAATTTTTGTTTGATGAGCGCCACATTGTCTTTGAGCAGCTAATTTAGATCTTCAAAGGTTTAACAATAGCACAAGGTCTTAGTGTCTTGCCGGTTTACCACCAACGAGGGTCTACATATAATCAGGGAACGAAATTCGACTTAGTCATTGAACTCGAGTTCACAGCTTACCACGAAAGAGTTAATTGGGATTATTGGCTACACGCAGATTACTTTCTACAACACAACACAGCATATTACAATGAGGCTCGATGTGGCATCGGGTTGAAACATTTTGCTAGTTTCTTGAACGTACCTTCAATGGTGGCACAATATGCCGAAGCGAACTTGGTGATAATCTGCAAGAGCGTTTGACCCTTATCATCGACAGTTTCGCCATACGAATTAAGTAATTGTTGGAACTGTGAGATCATCACATTGACACGGGTCTTCAGCTCGGGCAGACAGTCGCGGATATGGTGCATCAACAGACGATTCAACGTCTTAACAAGATACGGGGTGCCGTTCCTGTTTGCCAAAGCAGGATACCTGCGCTGAAGGTAGGATGCCTCATCTTTGAGAGCCGCGCTAATATCCTTCTTGTTCATAATGTCCTGTTGGGATCTGTTGACTACACCGATGATGCCGAGCTTGATCGGAATGACTCGACCGCAGAGCACATCAACAGCGTCTGTTCCCGCATCCATAAGGTCGAGTTTTGTGATGACAGCCAAAGTACGTCGACCCTCGGGATCGACATCTCGAGCTAGCTTGATGGCCTCTGATGTCGCGAAGTCGGTGTTGGCTGGCGTCACCGCGAGAATAATCGAATTCGGATTAATTGTAAATTTGAGGATGAGTTCCTTGATTTGGGATTCGATATCTTCTGGCTGGTCACCGACGGGAACTTTCGTCAAACCAGGTAGATCGACGAGTGTGAGATTCACAACTCGGTTTGAGTAGATCTTCAAGTTAATGGATTCAAAACAGATACCTTTGTTCGTACCGGAAACTCGGTCGGTGTCTTTCTCAATTTCTGCGGAGACACAAACAAACGCACATTCGCATATGCACATATCGTTCCACGTCAGATGCTCACAGTGCAGGCGATTCATTTAACTAAGCTAGCATTAAGGTATTGCAAGGCATTATATCTTTCAATAAGCAAAAGTTAGGGTTCATAAACAGATAAGCAACTGTTTCAAGTTTACGTTTTTCATAGTTCTTAAACATTGGTTCAAACGACTGGATCATGAACAGAATCCATTGAAATTAACATTACAAATTATGATTTACTATTGTTAGATACTATCATTTTATAGACATTGTTTTTCAATTAATATGTTTCAGATAAATATATCAACACTATTAAGTTTCTTATTTTCAAAGAACTGCTGTTCTGGCCATGATTATTATGAAGTCAAAAAACAAAACTTTACTTACCTTCCCTAATGTCATTGAAGTCAGTGAAAACCTTATTTTTGAGATGCAAAAATTCACCCCACTCTTCAACTGCCATCGTCCCTGATTCGAGACTTCGATGCGTTTTGTCATCCTAATTCGGCCAAACGTAATTTAAATATGAAAAAAAAAAGGATTATTGACAAGCTGACATGGGATAGTGCTGAGTAGAGGAAGTTATAGAGAATCAGCCAAGTAGTACAAGCCTCATTGTAAACCCAAAAAATAGCTTATGTAACCCCTAGGGGGCTCATATCGAACTGCCTACATCGTTTCATAAAATAAGAAGTTATTGGTATTATTATTAAGCATCAGTTAAGCCGTATGCCAAATAATTTAGCCGAATAACTTCTATAATTCCCATGATGATAACATCCTAGGATAAGTTAGTCATTATTTCACATTTGCGTTGCACTAATAACCACTTAGACTTACAATAGAGGAAAAATTAATTGTCAGTTGCTGCTATTTAATTCTTTACGTTTAATCATTTATTATTACTTATTACTAATTATTTATTATTACTTTACTTTATTCTTTCGCGAGCTTTCTACATGGCGCTGCCATCATTATTTAGCCGGTATACTTGCAGAGCACAATTTGTGTAGTCCGACATTGAAGTAGCTTTACCTTTGCGACGTGAACGAGCTGTAAAACCAGTGGTCTTCGAGTGACGATTCCTGAACCGCGAGGAAGGAAGTCCCGACCTACAATCGCTTCGAGTACTGAACTTTTTCCTGCACTCTGTTAAGATTAGGCATAGATTATCATTATAATTGTTTCCCTATAGATCCTACTGTAACACTTGTATGCACGAATCTTAACTAATGAAGGGGTCCAAGGCAAACATTTGAAAAAGGTGCAAAATTTAGCATTAACTCAATTACTCGAGATTTTTTAATTTCCAAGAGAAAAACTAATGCGATAAATGTATATTTATTATTTATGATACGTAGTATATTAAATACTCTTTAGTATTTTTAGTCATTTCATGGCACTATAAACAGTTACTTTTCACTTTACAGAAATTGAAGTCGGCGAAGGAATTGCGACAAAATACTGACAAAACATAAATCAGTTTGTGATTCAAGATAGTTACCTACATTATTGTCATTGCACGCATCATCGAAGGTGATTTTTCTCTTATTAGAATTTCTTTAGATTAATCCTTATTCAATACTTGACGCGGTATTTTTACATTTAGCAATCCGTTCATCAGAGAAGAGAGCTCCCTATCACATTGTCATAATGAACTTATCTAAAAAATAGTTCTTATAGCCAAATATAGCTAATTTATGCTCATGTACTGAACACTTCGTGACCAGCTGCTGGGTATATTAATTACTAATATATTGTGAAATAAAACTATGTAGAGACACCTATGGTTGAATTCGGTATATTGGCACTTTTCAAATTAGGGTTTTATACTTCAATAATATTACGTAATTTGTGTAAATAAAGAAGAATATGTGATACGATATTTTGGAACTCCTACAACACCATAAGGTCACGTCGTAGCCTCTTAAACGCCTCCTAAGAAACATATGACCTATCTGAACAACAATATCACATAGTGTTCTGTTCCCTACGTCAATTTTACTTAATAATGAATGTTAAATTACAATTCAATAATCTATCCGGTGCACGAACGACGGCGACAAATTCGTCAGTGAATGAGCCCCTTCGTTCTGCTGCAGTAGTTGCGTCCCGTCACTTAGCGGAGAAGTAACTAAGCCTTTTGATCGTGGCATACCGCCGTAGAGACGGGTAATACCCGCACTATTTTGTAAAAAAATGTCTATTAATAAGGGCTGCAGGCGTCCGCATGAAATATTCCAGCTTCATGAGCTGAACAATTGAGCTTGCTTTCTCGCAGTCAAAATTGGTCAGTTCAAGAGAGTAGCAAACCAACCGATGTAAATGACCAGGTTGGTGGTCAATCAGCCACTCGGCAAATGATGCTGATACTCACTAGTTGAGTAAAGGGTAGCCCAGGCGACACTATTTGCAATTTGTAACTTGCCAAGCAAGGCCAGAATGATACCACAACGGCAGCAAAAAACGCCCGACCCGACCCGAAAGTGGCATGGGTGTCGTTCACCTCTCGTTTTTTACTTGCATAATCTGCTCGCTAGGCTACAGTAGATGAACTGTGTTGTTTCTGCAACTAGCCGTCAGATATGCAAGCTTTGTTCCTACGAGCAATTGCTACAACAGAAACTAAGACTTCAGCGGATAAATAAAAATGATGTCAGTTTGCTGTGCAAAAACTCTGCCGTAAAAATTAGACAACTAGACTGCAACGTACAATGAGTAGGAACACGCGGTAGACTTATTTACGTGGAACTTAGATTTGAAATAAACAAAATTAGGATTTATCTAACTAGTCATTGAACGATACGAGGTACGGGTTCCCATAATCCCAAAACCAGCTAATTTATGACGAAATGTAGTCTTCATCGGCGCTATTAATACACGAACAAGGAAAATATTTCTCGGGAAATTTTCGGATTTCCATTGCATCAACGGTTTACGAACGCCAACCTTGTGTGTGTTAAACGTTTCAATTTTATGCGGCTGTATAGCAAAAATGTTAGACTTGAATTTCAACAATTCGCAACTTACTAAATGTTTCTAGAGAGCTACAATATTGCTTTATTCATGTCACTGGTGAATTTTCAGAGCGTAATCCTTTCTGTTATGTCATTTTTTCAGCGCATTATGTCTCTCTTCTAATGACCAAGCAACTATGGCGTGTGTTAAATGTTTCTCTCAAAGAGTTTCAGGAGACTTTCATTACGTTCGGCTACAAAATGCAATATGATTGTCTCGACCAATAAAGAACTTTTCGCAAGTTAGCACACCCGTCATCACCAATATTTCTTAAGGGAACAAAGTAGCTACAGCTACTTTTGTTACCTATTTGCTTTATTTCACGCCACCAAAGCTTCGCTTTTGACGTCCCAAGGATTTCAGTATGTCTTATTATGAACATTTCCTCTGTATTTTGTCTTCATTGGCCACAAAGACGAGAAAGCTCAAAACGTCCACACCTGTTTTTCCAACACATGTTAGCGAGATGACTGACCGTTTGTAGAGATCGAATCTCGGTTAAGCTCTTTAAACATATCTCTAGCATCGGTGTCCATCACAAGCCGCCGGGTTCAATTTCCCTTCGTGCTGTTTCTTATAAGATGCTCTTTAAGAAGGTCTCGAAACTTCTTGTTTGTGATTCTTTCCACTGCTAACATCCAACTTGTAGTTGCAGCAGAACCGTTTACATATACGAAAGCACATAAACGTTCTCTAATATGTGCTTTATTTCCCCTTTTGTAAACTCACTTTTACTACGATTAAGCAGCAATTATCAAGGTAAATTGTTCGAGATGCTACGAAAGATTTCTTCGCATATGTCGTCAAAGCATCTGAAAAACTACTGATCTCTTACTAAGCATTGAAGTTCATTACGAGAAAACGCGGACACAGTAATGATCTTTATTGAGATTTACTGTTCCAAAAAGCAGTTCGTGAAAAGATGCATAAAGCAAAAGTAACCCCCAAAATACTATCACGAACCTGAGCGCCAACGACGACAATTTGGGGCAAATGCACAGCGTCACCGCCAACCGTTGTGAAGACGTCTTGCAGTTTATTAATAATCGGTATAAGGGCTTCCATGGCCCCTTTTGATTTTGTGTGTTACTGGAACTCTTTATTGTGAAATTCCTCTGAGGGTTTAAACAGAGCACAATGAAGACTAGTTTGTTGCTGTTTTTCTTTACCGAATGATCACTCGAATCCTTCCGACAACCTCACCTCGCCACCTCGATGACCATCAGCACCTTTCAATCATTGAGCATATTACCATTAAAAACTTCTTCTGACAACAGCCAACTTTTGATCCTCTCTCACGATCGATCAGTTCAGCTGCACAGCGCCGATACCCTTGGCACCAGTGTTTGTTCAAGGGTGACTTGAATCTTGGGAAGCGAATGCTTTTGCCACAGCACCGCACCGTGAACACAGTACAGGAGAAAACAGACAAATATCAATAACAACACGCGAAAATAACAACGACAACGACGACTCGATTTGATTCACTTTGTATTTGTAACTACAAACTGATTGTTGTCCTGCTTGACTACTTTGGCTGCCCGACTGGCTGGCCGGTGGGCAAAGATCATCGAACCAACAAATGGAAGGTACTAGATCAACTACGACGGTGCTGTCCTGCGCTACTGTCGACCGCTAGCTGGACCATTACCAGCCGCAGCATCAGTATGGAAGCAATACTAGGCCCCCTCTACGTGTGTATGCTCTAGGCGCAATCGGTGAGCGCCGGCTTCTCGTTTGTCTGTAACTGCAGCGATCAGCGCAAACAACGCAGTTCTCTGTCTCCGTTTCAGCGCGCTGTTGGGTACATGGGAAGAGGACAAATTCTGTCTGCCACCGAATGTCCTCCGCTCCCGCCCGCCGTTCTGCTGTTGGCCGTCGGCCTGGACGGTGTTAGCTACCTGGGCTGCCCCGCTGGAGCTTTAGTGGTTAGTTAGTTATGGCTGTTGGGCGAATGAGCGGCTGGCGGACGATAGTTCAGGCGACTAAGATGGCGCCGCATCGAAGATTACAGCGCCACAGCTATCGCACTGTTTAGTTTTCGCGTGGCGGGCGGCGCGCTTCGGCTGTGGACGTAGACTGCCATAAGTAGCAGCAAAGCCCAAACGAACCTCGCTCAGCCGATGGCACAAGGTTGGGGCACAGCTGTAGGGATGAAAAGTGAGCCAGAAAAACAGATGGGCGGTGATGACGATGCGAGACTCTGGAGTCCAGAGAAGTCAAGCAATTTTTAAGTGCTTATTGTCACTGCTGATAAGAGTTTTGCGCGTGTAGAACTCGCTGGATGACGCGAACGACAGCAACGATTGGTACGTCAGCAATTTGCCGCACTGATGTAGAGCCGAACAACAAGAGAGGAAAAATAAAAAAAATATAGTCGTAACTATAGCGGACAAGCATGCTTTTCTTTCTTATGCCATACATGATAATGTTTCATTTTAAATGTTCGTTTTCAATTAGGAGTTAGAAAGGGCTTAAACGGACGCATAAGTATATGGGAGATATTTGACCTAATCTTTGAAAAGCAACTGAAAGGCTGATCAACAAAGTTATTTGACTGCACAAAAATTACGCATTGCAACAATTTAATCCTGCCAATACAAAGACGAAATCAGCATGTATCAGCAACAATTAAGCAGGCTACTTAATCTCGTCTCAACTTAAATTCAGAACCTTGACAATTCACCATTCCCAATACACCAAAGACGTAGTGAACATTCTCCTTCCTATTTGAAGTCCGTCGCGAAACTTACTTCCAACTTATTACCGTTTCTTCACTACGGGCCAGGTTCATTGTATTCCTGCTGCTTGATAGCTTGATCTATCACGAGGAACGCAGCTCTGGCAGAATGTTCACGCGACCCTCTCCTAATAGAACGGCGCATGTGCGTCGCTATCCGGCTGGCAGGATGGCAGGCTGCTGCCTAACCGTGTCGCGGCTAGTTTACCCTCTCCTACCAGAAAAAAAGCGTGCTTGAGTCGAAATATTGTGCTTCAACGCTGACGGCACCGGCCGTATTGTCGATGGCGGCCAAGTTACTCCAGCGTTGCTGCTCAATGTGCGCTACCTAACGATTGGCCGTGGGCAATAGTCGATGACCCTCTGCAAATGTAGACGCTAGAGTGCACTATAAAAGGGGTTACAATTAGGGTCGAGGGTAGCGGCTGCAGTTGACTATTCCTAAAAGTAACGTTCGTACGATTGACCTTTGCCCTGTTCTATGTTCATCAGTACCATAGGGTGGACCTGCTACCGGTAGCTGTGGCTGAATCACGCAAAGAGGACGTCAGAAATCGACACGGGTTTTGAACATTTGAACGAAGAGGCTAATGAGATGTTGTGCTTATTAAGTAAAAGCTAAAAAGTGAGTATACCTAAGTGAGTGAACAGTATTGAAGGTAAAGAGGCAGTTCAGTTCTCTCCATTGGAATATCGTAAGGTTTGAGTGCACTCGCTTGTTCGTAAACGCCGAACTGGAGAACGACGAACTTAGTCTGTAAGATCAGCGCCGTCTGGAGGGCGGAGCGGGTATAGTATTGGCTAGATGTAATATTAAACACGTCGTTCATGTTCTTATTATAGAGTCATGAAGAATGTGTTCGGATAGATTTGAATAGAATTTATATTTGCTGAAAATGCAACATAGTGTATGTTGTTGAAAATATGAAGGTTTTTTCTTTCAGAAATTATATGAGGATGGAAAATAATAATGGTTGGGAAGATCTTATTTTTTAATCTGCTACTGTCTAATTGACTGTGCTAGATTGCATGTGGTATTCTGAGTATGTAGTGTTCTGTTTTAGAATATACCTGTTTAAAATAGTTAGCCAAGACCTCACATTGCTAATACTTATCACCTAATCGTTAAATCTTTCGTCTAATATATTATGCATGTCGCATTTGATTTATTGTTCAACTGCCTATTGAAGCGGTGCGTTAATTCATGAGCAATCACTAGTAAGAAAAATAGTTGAAGCATTAAGTATCAGAGACAATGAGCCCAGAATTTTAAGAGATGTTTCCTCTACGTAATAACAACAGACACACATTTTCAAACGTAACGTAGTGACCATAGTCTTGATTTAAAAAATCAAGCCCAATTTCTCTATCGAAGGCCTCCTAAGCAAGTACCTCTCACGTACCAGTTGACAGCGAACATGGAGTGATTAGTGAACACGCATAAAAACGCAGGTATATTTAGTCTCTGTTGATAGCAACGGGTGGCCTGAGACCCAAACTGCGGATGTTGCACGCTGGTTTCGACGTATATTCATCACATATGCACCCATAGTCACACATGTATAAACAACATTTACTCAATAGCTGTTGCTAACATCCTTGTCGACGCTAGCAACAATATCAGGTCCATTAGAACATTTGTTACTGCAATTAGTAGAAGAAAAACCATGCTCCGGTACATATATATCGTTCTGTTCACACCATGACCACCCTGAGCCCGCGGTTAGAGTTAGGTCGGTTAAGAGTGCAAATATCTGTCATTTGTGTCATTCTGTTTGATTCGTTCATTGTGAGTCAACTGGGCTGCAATTTTTGACGTTGGTTTCGCGGCTAGCCTTACTGCCAGCTAGAAGCTATAACATATTTCAATCGTATTGCGGTTATGGTACTACCAACCTTCTGTGGATAAATACAGTTTCGCCACTGCCAGTAATCGTAGCCTAGTCTAATTCGCCGGTAACTTTCAGTGATGTGCCCTGGCCTTCAGCCTGGACCAAAGGATACAGCCAAACCCAGAACGGCAACAGCCAGCAAACACCACTCCGTTTATTTGCGGTGGCATCTGCTTGAGTTCGTATAGACCCAAGTTGCCATCGACGCGATAGAAGCCATCGTGACGCACTAGTTTGGTCGAATCGATTGACGAGTGAACCGTTTTTGCCACAAGTGGATCAAATCAGCTGCGTCGTCGATCAAGCAACGAAGATAACATCGACAAGTACTAAGTATCGGCAGCAGAGGGTCGGTTTACCCGATGTTGGTTAGGCTTGTTCCTGCTACTTTAGGCTTTTATTGTATCTCGGTAAATTCGGAGTTAAGCTTAGCTGACGCGCTTTCTTTTAGTTTGTTTCTTGACTGGCGCATGCACCATTCCTCCTTCTTCCCATATTCCTTGTAACTGTTTGACAACTGTGAAACCGTGTGGGCCCGTCCCCTGCTCGCCCGTTCTCGCCGGTGTCGTTGCCAAGTTGTCGACAAGTCACTGCCGACATGACAACGGCGATCTTCCTTTTTGCAGTCAGGAAGAGCAAAAACTTAGGGGATTAAGGTAGAGGTAAAGGGGGCGGCAGAGGTTTAAATATAAGATGGCCAACTCTTCTACTTCTAATGAGAAGAAAATACTAAGCGTGATTGGCGCTTGGCTATCTGCTAGAAAAAGCGAACTGTATAAACTTAAACATGAATGCTATAATTATATTAATGCTATTGTATAACAACGTTTTGATGATGAACTACTACTATTTTGGAGTCAGACTTGTTTTGAAAACAAAGAAAAATGCATTATGCATAAATGTGTTTCACAGCTAGATCAATCGCGCTGAAATCGTTTCATTTGAAGTGCCAAACTTACGGGAGCGTAGCACGTATGGCTAATACTTGTCTCCGAGTGCATTGCCATAGTGACAAATATGATGTTTCTAGCTCAAGTCTCAGCGTTGGTAAACAAAGAATTTATAAAAATAGAGGCAACAAGTAAAGGTTGATAGCTACAGCAGTTAGTTACTCCGCAGCCTCGCAAGTTTGTTGAGGAACTTCATACAAGCCCAACAAATAGCTTCCAGCGCTCTTTGAAACAATATTCAAGGCCGACATAGCAGAGTAACTCGAAAGGGTCAGCTCGAAATCACACGCTCACTTGAACCAAAACTCCCCTGTGTAGCGTCCTCCATCCAAGAATCAGGAGAAGGATTACTTCATTGTTGACATTGTTTTTTATGTTTCGTTGATTATGGTCGACGTGAGCATGACGATATCAAAAAACCAATACGATTGGTTTTGCGTTTTCTTACCGAGTGAAGCTTATTTATAAACGGATAAGGCGAAAAGGCTGTAGGCATTATAGTTTGTTCCACTTCGTATAGCATCTCCATTAACGTTCCACCAGTTGGAAAGAAAACGGTCCAAATGGTTAGGCTGCTTTGCACTGAGCTCTAATGGGTAAATGAATAATGGGAAAACTGAAAAACGAAAGTATTCACAGGTGTTTACCCCATCTGCTCTCTGAGGACTTCATTTTATTTCAAATATTTTTTCAATCTCTTCAACTATGCCCCTTTATTGCCGTGTTTCTTTAATTTTTTATAGAACGACAGAAGCAATATGGGCAAAAGACTTACCAGAAACGAAAGATTTACTTTACGAAGACTGCAGTGTATTCACGTTAGTTGAAAAATTGAAGGCGAGAGAGTTATGCCGTGCGGTGTATTCCCTTATGGAGATGATATATCACATATTATCTATTTTTGTCAATACCAGGCTAATTCTGTCGGCTGGACGCTGTTTGCTGTTATTCTTTATTGGATGCAGCCCGTGTGATCTGTTATTACTCGGAAAATTCGGCCGAATCAGGATAAAGGTTTTATAGGTGAGTCCTAAACTATCGAACAAGCTTCCCAGGTTTAGTCTCATGTACAACTATTAGTCATTGGTTCCTGTAACTGTGACCTTTAAACTATATATACATATATGTAATGATTTAGGGTGGCAACTATGAAATTTAATGACCTCACATATTCATCTAAAGTTACAGAACTGCTTCTGTAGTGAGCTTGGCGGTTGTAAATGGGAATTATAGTTAATCTTCAAAAAGGAAACTCAGTTTGGCGATTAGCGCAAAGCTAGAAAGGTGTTAGCTCAAAAGTACGATATTTGCACGACACTAAACATCGGGCTGGGGTGCGCGCCTGAATAATTATTGATTTCGACGGATACACAACGAAGATGCGACATTGTCGAACGTGAAATATCCAATGTGGTGCCATTAAGTGCTGGATTAGACTAGCCGCTGAAGTGGAGACTAAACGAACCACATGGTTAACTATTGTAATGACAGGATCGGGAGAAACCTAGTCTTGTTAATCATGACCGCTTCCAAATGGTCAAGAGAATTATCGTGCGGCGCTTTAAATCGACTGATTTTTTTTTGCTAAGCGGCGCAGAGCGATGCATGCTTTGCTGTGGCAACGGTGAGCTCCAAGCGGTTTTTTTGGTGGAGCGCACCACACGGTTTTTCATTTGCACCGAGGTCAGTTTGTAACGAACCGACTTTTGTTTTTTTTTAACATACAGTTATAACACGAATTTCGAAGAGCCTCATACTGAGCTGGCAATAGAACACTGTTCTGTTTCGTTCAAAAGCTTAAAGCAGCGCATAGTTACATCAATTCGTTCTTCTTTGTGTGTAT